ACTGAATGCATATATTAGAAAAGGAAGATTTAAAATCAATAATCTAAGCTTCCACCATAGGAAACAAAAAGAAAAAGCATGCTAAAAGTAAGCAGAAGAAAAGAAATAATAAGAATTAGAGCAGAAATCAATGAAACTAAAAAGAGAAAATTAATAAAGAATATCAACAAAACCAATGCAACTGTTTCTTTGAAAAGATCATTAAAATTGATAAGCCTCTATTTAGACTAACGAGGAAAAAAGAGGGAAAACACAAATTACTAATATAAGAAATGAAAGAAGGGACATCACGACTGCTCATGGACATGAAAAGGATGATAAAAGAATACTATGAACAACTCTTATGCCCACAAATTTGATAACCTGCATGTAATGGACCAATTCCTTGGAAGGACAAATCTCCCTGAAACTCACACAAGAAGAAATACACAATCTAAACAGGCTTCTGGGACTCCTGGGTGGCTCAGTCGGGTAAGTGTCTGACTTCGGCTCAGTTCATGGCTCCTGAGTTCGAGCCCCACATTGGGCTCTGTGCTGACAGCTCAGAGCCTGGAGCCTGCTTCAGCTTCTGTGTCTCCCTCTCTCTCTGGCCCTCCCCGTCTTGCACTCTGTCTCTCTGTCTCTCTGTCTCTCTCTCAAAAAAAAAATTTTTTTTAATAAATAAATGAAAATAAAAATAAATAGGCTTCTATTAAAGAGATTGATTCATAAATTAACTACCTTCCAAAACACAGAAAGCACCAGGCCCAGATGGGTTCACTGATGAATTCTACCAAACAATTAAGGAAGAAATTATACCAATCATCAACAATCTCTTTCAAAGGATAGAAGCAAAGGGAGTAACTTCCTAACTCATTTTATGAGGTCAGCCTTCCCCTAGTAACAAAACCAGACAAGGCATTACAAGAAAACTGGTTAGACCAATATCTCTCATGAACATAGATGCAAAAATCCTCAACAAAATATTAGCAAATCAAATCCCCCCAAAAGTATAAAAATAATCATATACCATAACCAAATGGGAGAGCTGTGTCAGGTATTCAAGGCTGGTCCAACACTTGAAAATCATTGAATGTAATTCATCCCATCAACAGATTAAAAAGGAAAAGTCACTTGATCATATCAATAGATGCAGAAAAAGCATCTGACAAAATCCAACACCTACTCATTATAAAATCTCCCAGTGAACTATGGAATAGAGGGGAATTTCCTCAACTTGATAAATACTCTCCACAAAAAACCTACAGCTCACCTCATACTTAATGATGAGAGACTTGAAGTTTTCCCACTGAGATGAGGTACAAGGCAATGACGTCACCTCTCACCACTCCTTTTCAACATTGTGCTGGAAGTCCTACTAATGCAGTAAGGCAAGGCAAGGAAACAAAACGTATATGGATTGGGAAGGAAGACATGAAACTGTCTTTGTTCACAGATGACATGATAATATATATGGAAAACCAAAAGAATCAACAACAACAACAACAACAACAAACTTCTGGAACTTAAAGTGATTTAAAGTTGCAGGATACAAGGTTAATACACAAAGGTCAATTGCTTTCCTATTTACCAACAATGAATGAGCAGGATTTGAAATTTAAAGCACAATATCATTAACAGAACTACCCTACGACCCAGCAATTGCACTAGTAGGGGTATTTCCAAAGGATACAAAATGCTGATTTGAAGGGGCACATGCACCCCAATATTTCTAGCAGCATTATCAACAATAGCCAAATTATGAAAAGTGCCCAAATGTCCATCAACTGATGGATTAAAAAGATGTGGTATACATATACAATGGAATACTACTCAGTGATGAAAAAGAATGAAATCTTGCCATTTGCAACAACATGGATGGAACTGGAGAGTCTTATGCTAAGCAAAATAAGTCAGTCAGAGAAAGACAGATATCACATTTCACTCATATGTGGAATTTGAGAAACTTAGATGCACATAGGGAAAGGGGAGCAAAAATAAGAAACAGAGAAGGAGACAAATCGTAAGACACTCTTAAATGCAGAGAACAAACTGAGGGCTGATGGGGGTTGGGAGGTTGGCCGGTGGAGTAAATGGGTGATGGGCATTTAAGGAGGACACTCATCAGGATGATCACTGGGTGTCATTTATAAGTGACGAATCACCGGGTTCTACTCCAGAAGCCAAGACTACACTGCCTGTTACCTAACTTGAGAATAATTAATTCATATGAGCTCCCCCCAAAATGAAATTCTTAAGTATAAATCTAACAAAAAGTATCTACAATATCTATACGTAGAAAACTGAAACTCTGATGAATAAAACCAAAGAACTACATAAGGATAGAAATGTTCCATGTTCATGGATAGGAAGATTCAATATTGTCAAGGTGTCAGTTCTTAACAACCTGACCTATAGATTCAATGCAATCCCAAGCAAAATCTCATCAAGTTATCTTATGGATATCAACAAACTGATTCCAAAGTTTACATGGAGAAGCAAGAGACCCACAATAGCCAACACTTCAATACAGAAGGAGAAGAACAAAGTTAGAGGTCTGACACTACCCAACTTCAAGACTCACCATAATATTACAGTGATCAAGACAGTGCTGTATTGGTAAAAAAAAAAAAAAAAAAAAAAAAAAAAAAAAAAAAAAAAAAAAAAAAATAGACAAACAGGGCAAAAGAACAGAATACAGAGCTCAGAAATAGACCCCAGAAATAGAATCAACTGATCTTTGACAAAGAAGCAAAGGTAATCAGTGGGGCAAAGATCACCTCTTCGAACAAATGGTGCTGGATGTCCACATGCAAAAATGAATATAGATAGACATAATACCTTTCACACAAGTTAAGTCAAAACGGCTCACGGGCCTAAATGTGAAATGCATAAAACTCGTAGGGGATAACACAGGAGAAAACCTAGACGACTCTGTTTCTGATGATCCTTTTTAGATGCAACGCCAAATATATGATCCATGAGAAAAATAACGTATCAGCTAGAATTAATAAATTCTGCTCTGTGAAAGATAACGTCAAGAGAACAAGATGAGCCACGGATGGGAAAAAATATTTGTAAAAAAACACATCTGATAAAAGAGTGTTATCCGGGATATGCAAAGAACACCTAAAATTTGAAAATAAGAAAACAACCAGATTAAAAAATGGGCCAAAGATCTTAAGAGACAGCTCACTGAAGAGGAAAAGACAGATAGCAAATAAGTATATGAAAACAATGTTCCACATCACACATCATTAGGAAAACGCAAACTTAAACAATTTGATGCTACGACATACTTACTAGACTGGCCAAAATCTGGAACACTGACAATACCAACTGCTGACAAGGATGTGGAACAATAGGACCCTCGTACGTTACTAGTGGAAATGCAAAATGGTATAAGCAGTTCAGCGGTTTCTTACAAAATGAAACATAGTCTTACCATATGATACAGCCATTACTCCCCTTGGTATTTACCCAAAGAAGTTGAAAACCAGTTCACACAAAATCTTGCGCACGTTTATAGCAGCTTTATTCATAATGGCCAAAATTTGGAAGCAACCAAGATGTCCTTCAATAGGTGCGTGGATAAATAAACTGCAGTATACCCAGACAATGGAATACTATTCAGTGCTAAAAAGAAATGCGCTATTGAGCCATGAAAAGACATGGCAGGAACCTGAAATGCATATTGGTAAGTGAAAGAAGCCAATCTGAAAAGGCTATACACTGTATGATTCCAACGCGATGACATTCTGGAAAAGGCAAAACTACAGAGACAGTAAAAAAGATCAGGGGTTGCCAGGAGGTGGGGAAGAGGGGCTTGACAAAAGTCAGGTGGGAAGCCTGGGCCGATCCTCAAGTTTGTCCAGAGAGACTCAGACCAGGGGGGTTGCTTTCCAGGAGTCTGGTAAGACAGACCCACTATCACCCATGGGAAGGGAAACCAGGGATAGGCCAGGGAAAGCATTCTCCCAAGGAAGCAAAAAGGAGGAGAGCTTAAGCAGCAGGAGCTGGCCATCTCCCATTGCCACACCTAGCACTGTGCACTGGTTCACAGGCCCCAGGTGAGAGCACCTGACAAGAGGTAACAGGCACAGACACGTGTCTGTGTTTGTGGACACATCTGCAAACACAGGCAACACCAGGTGGTGGCAACTGGTCTACTCGAGACCTAAATCTTCATTTGGCCTTGCACGTCAGCTCTGCTTCTGTGGTATCTTCCCCTCCCCGTGGAACGCCTTCTCTGTCCTCGGCGCTCACGAGAGGTCTATGCACCTTCCACACAGTATGAGGGGACGGTATTTGTCCGTCTTGTCCCCACAAGGTGGAGTGGCCTGAAAACAGGAGCAGTATCTTGTCCACCCTGTACCCTCAGTCCCTGCTCTCATGGTCAGGCAGTCAGGCATGGAGTGGCTGCCCCATCAGGCTCACGCTCACGTGTGAGTAAGTGAGTGAGTGAGTGGGGGGAAGAAAAAAGGGGCTGAGGCAAAGGCCTATGGGGCTCTTAGTGCAGGGATCATAGGGCAAAGTAAGTCGGTAGGAATACCAGCACCCCGACAACTTCCTCCTTCTCACCCACTAGTTCTCAGCCCCCATCAACTCTGGGGACATGGTCCTTAGCAGCTTTCACACAGCTATGAAGAGCTGTGACCATCCTGAGGTCTGCTCTCCTGACGAGACCGTAAGCCCCACAGTTCCACTCCCCCCCCCGCTATCCCCAGCACTCTAACACCATGCCTGGCGCTGAGCTGGTAACTTGCAAATATTTTTGGAAGGGAGGAGAATAGAGTTTAAGTGGCATGTGATAGCAACAGTGCTCCTCTGGGGCACTGGAAACAAAGAGACATCAAGGCACAGATGCTGACCACAAAGGACTTTGTCTCGAGCTGGTGTAGACAGGCTCACACAGGCATGCTCTGTCCCCAAGCGGCTGCCATGGAGAGAGGGGGACAGGGGAGAGCAAACTGCACCTGCATAAGGTGGGCCCTGCCCCGGTGATACGGGGAGATACTCACTGGGAACAACCGTGGTCTCCCCAGGAGGGCCGGTCAGCGTCACCGGGATATGCACAGTGGCACTCAGGTCCGAGGGTTGACTGCCCATCCGTGTGACATTCCGCTGATTGTCTGCATCTTCTGGCTGTTCCTCCACCTTCTGTAGGCAGGTGCTGGGCAGTGCATGTACAGGGCCCACACCCATCATCTCACTGGCCTCCAGGTCACAGCGTGGCTCCCTGCAACCAAGAATGCACATCAGACTCTGATGCAGCCCTAAACTCCTAGTCAGTCTGCAAAATCCAGCTCCTTATGCCCCGATGCAAATCAGATAACTCCCTGACCACTTCCTCTGCTACTCTGACATTTCATATGGTTTTCATCACTTTGTACATTTCTGTGTTTTCAGGTCTGAAAAGTAAAAATGGGGCCGACTCAACCTGTCTGTCCCTGGCACACGACCAGGCATGGCTGGCATCACACTATGTGTATAAAAGGGAACTATGTGCAGAATGAAGAAGCCCAGAAGAGGGTGTTTCTCTAAGCTACTCCACCTGCGGCCCCTCCAGAACTCTGCACACAAAGACAGACTCTAGACCTGAGCAGGGGCTTCCAGCTGCCGGGCAGGCGCCCAAGAGTGCTGGCCTCAGCCTGGGGCCTCCTGTCACCCCAGCTTTCTCACAGACTCAGAGTCATGGCCTGTCCCTGCCAGGGAGCAGGCGAGCCAGCTGGTGTGGAGAGCTGGGAGGCCCTTTCTGTCATGGCCACCCAGCCTGGCCCTATTCCTTCCTACCAT